TATAGCCATTACAGAAAAGCTGTATTACAACTTCATTTGCCTTTCCTTTAAAATCATTGTACACTCACAGAAACTCAACCTTTCTACTGATAAATACTTTCTAAAAAGCCCACCCCTTTACTGTTTAACCACTGATGCGGTCACAGTCACTTTCCTCTTCCCTACTTTCTTTTACAGCTGCTGTCTTCACTCCATGTGTTAACACTGGTTGCTAGTTGTAAAGTTTGTCTACCCACATCTCTAGGCCCTTAAGATGGCTGAATGGACAATGCAGTTTTAAATAAAAAGGTATGTCCTTGTATTTCCTCCAGGAGTCTTACTTTTACAGTGTCTCAAAAGAGTTTACAAGCTGGGAATAAGACGAGCCGCTTAGGCTTTATTTCATCTTAAAGTCCGACGTGAGAACGCCGGGAAAACGCCATTTCTGCACCTGTGTAATGTCATCGATTTAGGAAAGGACTCCTCAGTTGATGGTGCCTCAAGATGCACAATGGCTTTCCACGGATGTTAAATTACAAAAAGAAAAAAAATCCGCCTTATATTTGAAAAACAAAAATAGAGGTACTTCGAGCGGTTCTTTCTTCTGCTGTTTATAGCTGGTGACAAAACCGAAAAAATTTAAAAGGAGACCCCCTTAGTTCCCGTTGGTGCGTCCTTGGTTCAGTTCCCACGACGCGCGTTCTCTCGGATCTCGCTGCTCCTTTCCAAATGCCCCCCAGCGAGCAGCGTCGGATACTGACAAAAAGCAGCTACGGGGCAGGAGATGTGCGGGCTTCGTACACTCCAGACAGACGGTCCTGTCTTCCTGCCTTCCTTCCACCCGTCCTTTACGGGTCTCCCGGACTGACTGACTGGTTGACTGGATGCATGTGTCTCTGCCCTCCTGGCTTTTCCTTTAAGCCGCTGCAACAATAAACGCTGTGGCCGCGACGCAAGGCGGAGAGAGGAGTGGAGAAGGTCCTCGCTTGGTACTGAATTTGAATAACACCACGGGGTGATAAATGTCCATTGTACTGCTTAAGTAATGAATCTCCGCTGTCCTCTATGTCACACACACACACACACGCTCGCGCACTCACACGCACACACGCCAGCAGCTGCGATGAGGGACCAGCAGCCCCTCTTAAAGATACAACAGCCCTATTTTCTACCCAAAAAGAGATTACAATCCCGACACTGTTTACTCTCTGACCGCACTGCATGAC